ACATTTTATCACATTTCATCAGATTGGATATATAGAAATGTTACTTTTAAAATGTTACTCACAGCCTGGCAACAGATACATCAAACCTCATCTCAGACAGTTAATAATGATCACAAATACTAAATAAATAAATAAATAAATAAATAAAAAGGGAGGAAAGGAGATTCTGACCTTCCAGTCTCAAGTGAGACATATTCTAAACAAAAGGAAGATTGTGTGCCTTCAAGAATGAAAAAAATTAAATGGATGGGGACCAAATTCAGAACGTATGGGAGATTTTATACTCTGCAAGTTCAAGAAAATGAAAGAAAATCCTGGTAAAACACTGCTTAAGTCCCAAAACCAGCACATTCCCCATTGTTCTACAAACACTTCCGGCCTACTACACTACTGGTAGGGGCCTCACTTCTTGTTTCACAAATGCTGATGCAACGTTACAAAGGTACAGCTGGCTGACTGTCACGGTACACAGCGATGCGACAATTCATGAAGGCATCCTCAAAATAGAAAGCACGCAGCTCACAAGAATGAGTTTAGAGCTCCATCAATAGAAGGTACTACAGATAGGAGGAATAACTTCAAACGTTATAAATAATACAGTAATGTTCCTTGGGTAGTACATTTAGAATAGCCCTCAGACTAGAAAGCAAGCAACAACAATTAAATATGAACTCTTTTCATGACAATCACAATAGCAAACTGCCTGTACATTAAATGAAAATAATTTGAGTGAAAACATTTTTCCTATATTATGTGCATTTTAAATTTGAAGGCCATGCTAATCTAGTATACTTTTGAGAGATCTAGGCCCAGAAATACAGACAGAAACTCACATCCAGAAGTTTAGGGAGTAACAGTCTACCCAAGCTAAGTTCCTACATGACAGCTGTAAATATTACCTGGTACTTCAGGAGAATGAAGATTAAACAATCTGTCTCTTCTAAGAGAGACGCTTAAGGCACTGCATTTCAGAAATGAAACACCACTGAAGTTGAAAGTGCACAGTCTGAAAATACTTTGTTTGCTTTACTCTGAACTTTCAACCCTTCAATGCGCGTTAGTCATTCCAGGAATATTCCATTTCACATGATAAAAGATAATTTAGGGTTTGTCATTACAAAGCAGTAAGTCACTCCAAGGGCTTTTTTCTGTTTATTTGTTTTTTTGAGGAGCTTTTTGAAGCTCTTGCACAAATAGAAACTAAATAGGAATAATCAATACAACAATAGAAAGTTTCATCCAATCTAACCACAAGCTTTTGAGTGGTTGTTTCTTGTTGTTGCTGCTGCATTTTAAACAGGAAACTCTGATTTATCACTAACTAGGATAGTAAGCACAAAAGCTTAAGCTGGATGCTGCTCTATCAGTGAGAATTTAGTTAAGACAGAGCAGTCTTCATGAAGACACTGCATGCTTCACTTTAAGAAATGTGACATGAATATGTGGTTCTTCTTAAGAATTTCATTCATTTCCCTATTGCTTCAATTTTCCGCTCTGCCAGCTGCTAGAAAGGAGGACAACAGTCACGCTTTTCTATGAGGCCTTTCTTTCATGTAATTGCTGAAAATAAGACTTCACTTCTGCTACGCACTTTAGAGAGGATCTCTGAGCTCTCTAACCCAGAGCAACCTAATATTTAATTAAAGAAAGTAATTCCTTTCCTTCCCACCTGGACAGGAATTTATTGTTGATACTCACATCAGTCTGACAGTCTTTCAATTTCACAGAACTGATTACAAGATATCACTAAGTTACTTATTGATAGATACACCTGAGTCCAGGTGAAAATAAGAGTGATCATCTGTTATCCAGCTTCAGGCAGAACTGTTTTCCTGACCTGTGACATGCTGGGAGATGGCCAAAGGAAGTGACAAGTTCCAGTCACCATTACTACTTTGCAAATTACGAGTGAATGAAAACTACTAGTGTGTTTTAATTTCCTGTTGCTTAATTAAAATACCACTATTTAGTAGCTACAAATATTTTTCTAAAGCCATCAGACAACTACAATTCAAATGACTAGGCATTTTTAAATGCTCTATTAAACACATTTATACCAAATGTCTTTAGTCAACATGCACCTGGGAAGCCCAAACTTTTCTTACTGTATCAAAAGAAAACACATTCTGATAGTTAACTCCAGTTTAGAAGGTGCAACAAGATTACAGTGATCCTTCTGCTAGTAAGAGAGACAGCAGGAAACAAAATGGCTAAACAATAAATTAAAAAGAGCTTGAAATATTTGGCTTCTGGCACAGAATCAAAAATCCCTTGCAAGATGCTTCATCACTATATAGGCATGAACTAAGCGACTCAGTATGACATGAAAAGCAATTGTACATGAACAGGAAACTGCCTAGGAATAGTCTACAGCACATTACCAAAGAGTGAAGGGTTATTTTAAGTAGAGGTGTAATCCAGCAGCAACGTGCCTTACATAGAGCAACTGGCAGGAACTTCCCTGAGCTGTGAACCATGAAGAAAGCTTGAATAGATGTGACCGTTTTTTCCCCACAGTGCCTTGTTCTTTGAGGCATCGGCAGAAGAGTCTGTATCCTTTAAGCAATTACTCAGCAAGTGCTTTTAAAGAGGCTATAATAGACTCAGGAAAGTCATCTTCTCTCAACAGAGGAAATTCAAGACTGTTCTCTTGGCCACCAGGCTGGTCTAGAAGAGCTGTAGGAGTTTGGCCACTTCAGCAGAAGATCTGTTTTTGACTGAAGAAGAAATGAATAACAAATTGCACAAAGGAAAACAAGAACAAAAAAATATCATTACCAGCATCAAATACCCTAAGGCTGATTTGTTAATGCACTGCCACCTTCATTTATCTCAAAAGCACAGGAACAAAAGCTAACAGTTACGCATGACAAGTGGATGAACTTACACAGACATCACCGCTGCACGAGAGGTATTTGCAGCTACAGTTCAGAACAGCCCAGTACTCAGCACCATTGTAAATAATAGTGCTAAAAGCCACTCCAGGTAAATTTTCTAGTGCGCATTCCTGAACCTTCGCTGGGGGCTATTTCCAATTACAGAAACTACACGGACACAAATCTGCACTTGACTACCCGCTTAAATTACTTAGCAGGAACAGTTCCTTGTTAAGAGCTGATGAGAAGATTTCACAGAATCGCACAAACAGCTCACTACTCTTCAGTATCTCGACACAAACTAAACCTTAAACACACAGTTATGGATAACCGTATACTAACTTCACAAATACCCAGATAATATGACTTCACAATGTTTTTTGTTTCTTTTTGTTTTGATTTTTTCTTTCCCCCCAGGCTCTTCCACAACAGAGTCCACATTCTTACAGCAATGCTTCAGAGGTAACTCAAATTTAAGAACTCCTGACCCTTGCACCATACTTTAGACAATAATATGAGAAAACCAGAGCAAATGCTATCATGGTCACAATAACATGCTTTCAACTTTGTGGTGGGAATACAAATATTCTGCAATTCACTTCTGCTTGTTCTACGCCATAAAGGAGAGGAGTACCAAGCAGTGAGTTAAGAGACTAAGTAGAAAAGTACAGGATTCAAATTAAGGCAATTAGTATGCAAGTACAGTATTTCTGCAAAACTAATAAAACTTCCCATGATACTTTCACCTTTGGACGATTATTGTTAAGCTGCAGAAAGCAGCTTTACTCATGAGATGTTTGAAAACATCTTGAGAACTTGTTTTCAATATTCAGCTAGAGTAATATTCCGCTCCAGTTTTGTACACCAGCTTTCACAAAAAAAAGTGTAGATAATATTGTCATCTGGATGTGCAAACAAATGCATTTATGAAATTGTAGTGCATTATTATTCACTAAGACTCTGAAACTCTGGGTAAATGCCTTTTAAGGACCTTAAAATGCAAACAGCAGCCTAAAAAAGGAGTTTGTCTTTCTTTAAATAACGTTTTCATATCCCAGGCATATAAGAACCACTCATTTTAACAAAGCATATAAGCACTGTCTAAAAGGGTATAGCCTCTCTACCTCTCTCAACAGCTTCCCAGTTAACTTCCATCTTTCACCACAATTTTTACCAGCCTAGCATATCATGGATCCAAAGTGGATTACAGAATTTACAAGGATTAAACATCCCCAGCCTCTTCTTTTTAGGAGGGCACTCCTAGTGCACAACAGTTTAGTGTTCCCTAAAGCTAGGTAAGATCTCAAGATATTTCAGCCAAGAAAGGAAGAAAAAAAGTCATCTCTAATCTCATTTGCTTCCTTTTTGCTCTTATCAACACCATTTCATTAAGGACTTGCTAGGAAGATATTGAAGGGAAGGCAAAATTCTCAAGATTAAGTCAGTACCACCAAGAATACAAGCAAACCTGTGGCTATACCAGCCTAAATACAATGTACTGGTATAAAGATTAACGACTGGAAGTTTTTAAATGATACATGAAGCAACTTTATTTCCTCCAAAAAAATGTAGATTTGTTTTTCTAACACTATCTTCTGTAGTGCCTGTAATGAAATCTAACCAGTGACATCTCATCACAAAGAGATGGATTGATGGAAAGCCAGCAAGTGAGACCTACTTTCCTTCTGAATATTTATCCTTTCAGTACAAGTACATTGGCAAGGATCAATTCAGCTAATTCAGAGTCAAATGTAACATAACACTACAAGTCTATCAGCCCTTTAACAGAGAGGAAAATCTGTCAGTTTCAGCATATTTTCTCCACAGTTAAACTAATCACACAGGCATTTTGGAAAAAAAAAAAAAAAAAAAAGGTATTTTATCATAACAGTCAATAGAAAGACTGAAAAGAAGTCCAGAAATGTGAAAAAGAAACTCAACTTTTTTCATTACTGATCAAAACAACTTCATTTGGGAAGAGCTGTCTCAATACCATCTGAATGTTCCAAAAGAGCAGAACTCCACAACAAAACAAAGCACAACACTTCTACAGATTCCATTTTGTAAAAGGTAACGCTTTTCACAGCATGCAGTACCTCACTCAATTTTTAATATTGCACTTACCCTTAGCAGACCGTTCCACAATACACATGGAAGAGATTTAACTGCAACAACGATATCAGACAACTGTTTCAGATAAAATTATTTTATCAACAATTGAATTACATCCTTTGTACTTCTAACACCTCAACAACTGCAGGGGAACCGTTTGGGCAGGACTTGAAGTGGTGATTGAGCACCTGGTGAAGGGGTGTGTCTGGCCCAGGGAGCACAGGCAGATTGTTTGCACCTGTGCTCCCCAGCTGACCAGGAGGTGTGGGCACAGGTGGAGCCCCTGGGCTCATTATAAAGGCCAGCCACTGAAAGGAGAGCATCTCTTAGACCTGGGCTGCTGCTGACAAGGAGTGCTGCACAGCCACAATCTGCTTCACCAGCTGGGTGAGTGCTATTCTTCTTTCTGGTACAGGACTATAGGTCTATCTGCAAGTGCTTTAGTATCACCAAGAATCTGACAAAAAGCTTTTTTTCTTTGTGAGAAAAACAGCTTAGCCTTTGTAATTAAGTTTGACATGCAGATAAAGTAAATTTATCAGTTACCATTGCATTAAAATAGTAAACAAGTCTTTAGAATGTTTTTGAAAAGGTTTTTGTGATGAAAAAAGATCTCAGAAAAAAAACTTGCAGTAGAACTATCAAAAGGCTCCCAGGACTTGGAAGAATCTGTGGTTTTCACAAACTACTGATACATGACAGTATGATATGACATGTATATTGGAAAGCAACAAGCTTCATTAGGAGCCTTTTCTTAAGGAGCAAACTATTAAACTGTTTCCTTCCACAAGAAAAGCCACTGAGGCAACAACAAAAGATTACCAAAAGTAACTGTAATACATACCAACTTAGCACAGAGTAGTTGCAATCCTGTTTAATCTAGCTAGCAAGGGCAAGAATGGTATGACAGAACAGTACAGGGCCTATGAGCACAGCACAGAGGGAAGTCTCTGGGGAGTGGGAAAGACCAGAGAAAACAACTGTAGCACTGGCAGCAGGAAAGAACCTCCTGCCACCATCCCTGCCCTCAACTCTCACATGCTCATGAACAATCATTTGTCAGTCCCTGTGCAACAGTTCCTTAGGGCTTCATAATGGGGAAAATATCAGAGAGGATGAAGGATAGAGGAGGCTGGAAGGAGATGCTTGGTACCTGTTCTATTTAGCATATTTTTCCACTTCATACATGCATTTGAGAGAAATTATATGGTTCTCTAACTTTCAATGACCTTTTCTAAATGAAAGTACAACACTGACATAAAAAAACTCATCAGAACTGGATAACATTGTCACCCTTCTTGCTTTTGTTACTTTCTAATCCTTATCTGCTAGAAATTGGCTCTAATGTAGGAAATAGTATGGGGACTTGGATCTGCAATAACACAATAACTTACATAAAACAGCTCTTGGCTGTCTTTGTATCTACGACCACGACAGAACTGTGACACCTTGCAACAGAACATTGCAGCAGAGGTTAGCCAGAATAGTTAGAACAATACATTACTATCTTAATCATCCATTATTGGAACGTAATTGTCATCTGACAGGACAAATCCTTATTCAATTTACCATTTGCCCCACTCAAAATCACTGCATTTCTAGCAGCAATGACTTCAGTTCTTCAACACTTGAAAACATTTACTTAAGAAAAGTAAATATAACAGTTTTTCTATCGTGCGTAATAATTCCCTCACCAGACTCACAATAATATTTTCATACTGAAACTTTCAATTTATACTCTGTTCTCTGCAAGAGAAAGACCAGAATCAATGAAGGTTCAATCATGTAGTCATCATTCTGACTACAGCATCTTATATGCATAAGATGAAACTAGAAATACAGTGACGCATAAAAATCTTTCTGTTACTAAAAAAACTTCTAACCTATTGTCAGAGTAGCTCTGGAATTCCCAGCCTTCCCCTCGCACCTCTTCTTTCCCTCTCTGGTATTTTAAACTAGGTACTTGCTACTACTTCCTGGTATTAGCCTTTTGAAAATAAGATGCCATTTTGAAAGAACATTGTTTTTAGGTGATTAAATTGCTCACAGAAGACCAAGAAGAAACATTAATCCCTTGCTAATCTGAATAGCTACTGTAACAGGTAATTACAGTGCAGCTTTCTTCAATGACACTCTCTTACCCTATAGACATTCCTAAAGATGGAAAGCATTCCAAGTGTGTACTCATTCCTCTGACAGCCAATTATGATAGAGAAATATCTGAATCCTTAGGAGGATGTAATTAATAATACAACACAACTTTCTAAGTGAACTTTCCTGAACATTAACACAAGTTAGTTTATTCCACTTAGAAATATAGTAAACTTGACTACTCATCAGTCTGCTGTAGTTTCTACACTATCTTAAATCTTAAAGACAAATTGATCACCTTTTTCATAAAACTGACTTGATATTGCCTGATTCAGCTGTAAGCCAGCATGTTATCTTCAGCAATTGCACAGAATGGTGTAAAGCTTCTTAGTGTCATCCTAAGTCTTTATTCACCGTGTCTCACTCTGCTATGCGTCTGTAACAAGTTCTAGATATTACCAGCAGGATTCTCAATGTAAACAGATGTTAAGATGGAGCTGTGAAGAACACTGTTTCAATTCTCATCTATTTAGAAGTTAAGTAATAAAACTACTGGTGAACGTACCAGAAGAGATTGATTATTTCTGCAATCTTTTGCTTCATTTACTGAGTGAGATATTTGCATTTTTCTACTACTTAAATGGTGATCTAGTTTATTTCATGCCTGGGATCCATCTTCAGCACTATTCCTTGTGCTATTTGCCTGAGTTAGATTTAACTCTGTCCCAGTTTGACAGATTTTTTTTCCCCTCCAGTGGCTGAAAGACATCTTAAGAAGGAACAGAAATTCTAGTGGCCATAGAGATAAGACTAATAGAGCATGAAGGTGTTCAATAAAAAGCACAAAGAAATCACACCTTCTCTGGAGGGGGGAAGAAACCCTTTATTAAAAAATCTAGATGCTGAAGGAGAGGCAAAGGAGCACATGTTCATAATGGCATTAAAAAAAATGAAATGAATGAAGCAGCAACAGACTGGCTTTACAGCTAAAATAATTTCAGTGGCTTGAGGAACTGGAAAAATAAGACGTTCACAGATACTGATAACCAAGATATCATGAGATGCACTCTTGAAAAAACAAAGCCTCTTAAAATCAACTGCATGAACCATTACCTATAAAAGTTAGCTGTCTCATACATTCCTGTAAATCAACAGGTGTTCTCTGTACCATGGTTTACCTTACTAAAAAAAAAAAACAGCAGGATGTTGCAATACACAGGAAGTTCATAAGAATTTACACCAACTCATTACTCCATTGGAAAATAATATTTTGAATTAAAAACTGAGAGCAATGGCTTCAAGATATGCAAGGAAAACAGAATTGAAATTACAAAAATCTGTCAGTGTTCCTTCTCACGTTATTGTTAATAATCTTCTGAGATATTAACATCTGGCAAGCTATGCTTTTTGTCTTTTTTTTTTTTTTTGAATCACTGTTAATCACTGTTCCTGTCTTTCTCTGATGCTGAGTCAGAGAAACGCTGGCAGAAGGACCCTTCATTGCAAGTCATGTGAATTCCTTAAAATGGCTTGGCTTTTCTGATTATCTGAAAATTTCTAGAAAAGTATCAAGTCAATTCCTTAGTACTGCTTACCTCTTTGTTCTATTAGAGCAAAAGTCCTCCCTAAAGTACGTTGAGTATCACCCACTAAGATGAAAATCATACGTCAACTTAGGTGCAATATATCAGCTCTGTATTCTGCTATCTGCCACACCCACCCAAGGGTATAAGCATATTAAATACAGATACATCCACGTCTTTAAATCTTACTGTTTAATGCGTTCCCAGAACTTACATTTGTTTCCGAAGATGATTTAGCTAGTGATTTTTCTGTTTGTCTGTTTTTATAAGAAATTTCTTAGCAGAGAAAAGCTGATTAAACAGATAGTAAAATATAAGGTTTGCTGGCTTAGATATGTTATCAATAAACATCTAAACTCATCTTTTATCTCAATGGAGTTTAATAAGTAATTGCATCCCTGATCAGAGGACAGAGGAGTGACAGGGAACAGATGAGAAGAGTCCTTTCTGGTTAGCATGGAGCTACGTGTGGGTGTGATTCTTCAGTCCCACAGATAGTAGTTCCATTCCTCCACCGTGTGAATGACAACCCAGATGTGGTAGCTGTGTGAATACTGCTCCAAACAGCACACTTCTACCCCTCCAGCAGAAGAGACACTACACATACTGACAGGTTTTTTCCCTTCTCAGTACGTATAGTCAGGTTAAAAAAAAAAAAAGGCCACAATACTAGTAAAACTGATGAAATAAAATGGTATGACAACACCCAACCACTTAAGTGGCTATCTCTGCCTCAAAAGACAACACATCCAAAACATTGACAGCTCGATCACCGGCTTCTTAAGACGGTTAACAGGAATGCGGGAGAAAAGCAGCATACCTGTGTCAGGCTCACGTGACACACACGTACGCAGACACTCCTTCCCCTCCCAGCACCAATGATCGCCCAGACGCAATTAAGTGTGCGGATACATGTCTATATGAACACATACAAATACACGCACATCTTCACGAGGACAACAGCCTCGCCTTCCGCACGCCAGCCTGCCTTCGCTAAGCCCTACAGCTAGTAGGACTAATAGACCCAGGATTTGAAGCGAGCAACCAAACGAACAAAAAAGCCCCGCGGCGCCGCGACGAACCCCGACCGCTCGCTCCCTCCTGCGCCGGGAGAAAGGATCCGAGCGGCCGGGCTCGGCAGCGCCGCGCGGGGGGAACCGTCCGCCCGCAGCTCCGCAGGGTGGGGACTCGCTCGCTCGCTCCCCCGAGCTGACATTGTCTGGATGCCGCACACCGCAGCCCCGCCGCGCCGCCCAGCCCGCGCCGAGGCACGCCTTACGCGGGAACAGAAAGCCCCCGCCGGCCACCGACGTGCGAACGCTCGCTTCGAAAAAAGCACCACCCCCGGCGCCGCGCGGAGCGGCTGCGGCCACCTCGCCGATGCCCCGCCGCTCCTCCGCCCCGCCGCTCCTCCGCCCCGCTCCCCCCGCCCGGCGCGGTCCCTCCGCAGCCCGCGGCGAGCCGAGGGAGGCGGCGGGAAAGGCGCTGCCCGCCCGCTCCCCCTCGGCCGCCGGCCCCCAGAGGCGATGCGGCGCAGCCCCCGGCGGAGGGCGGCTCCCCTGCTCACCTCGCCCCGGCTCGGGGAGCCCCCGGCGGGAGGACGGCGGCGATCCCCCGCAGAGCAGAGGGCAGGGACGGCGGGCACGCTCCTGCTGGCGGCGGCGGCACCAGAGCTCCGCTCGCGCTCCGCCTCGCAGCCCCCCGCGGCCGCGGCTGCTGCTGCTGCTGCTGCTGCTGCTACGCGCCGCTCCTCCTCCCGCCGCTAATGGTGGCCGCCACCGCCGGCTCCCGCTGCCGCTCCCTTCCTTTCCCGTTTCTTGTTTCCGCCGAGCGCGGAACCGCCCGGCAGCCGGAGCACGTCCCTGCCCGGCAGCGGAGACGCCGCTCCCGCCCCAGTCCCCGCCGCCGCTCCGGGCTCTCCCCCCGCCGCTCACTTCCGGCGAGGCTGCGCCTCGCCCCGCCCAGCGGGCCCGCCGCCAGAGCCCGGGGGGCGGCGGGGGCCCCGCGGTGCCGGGTGGCCGCCGGCCGTTGGTCGGGCGACGGTTGGGCCGGCGCGCGAGCGGCGGTTGGGCGATTAGCGCGCGGGAGCCGTTGGCGCGCGGGGGGCGGGCGGGCGCGCGCGGGCCCCGCAGAGCGCCGCCACCCCTCCGCGCGCCGGGTCGCGCCGCCGAGCTCCGCGGAACGAGAACGGAGCGGGGCGGCGGGCGGCACGCGCGGCGCGAGGCGCGGCTGAGGCGGCCGGGAGCGGCGGCGTCCGCCTCGTGCCGACCGGCGGGCGGCCCCGCGCGGGGACGCGTTCCCCCATCGTGGGAGTGCGCGCAAGCCCGCGGTCGCGTCTCCCGCGGAGTCGGCCGCGGCCGCCCGGGGCCGACCCCTGAGCACGGTGAGCCGCGCCCCGCGAGCACGGTGTCCCCGAGCGGGAGCTCCGCAGCAAACCCTGGTTCCGGGACTGATAACAACCGTGCACGACGGTGCCCGGGCTACCTGTGTAAATACTGATTTACCCATAAGGTTATGAGGTGGGTCAAAAACAGCGTGAAGAGGCAGCTTTAAAACGCAAGCTGGCACACAGGGAAGGTATGTTCGTGTATACGTGCTACTGAGTGGTTTGAAAACAGAGTCCACACGGAATTGCAATGCAATGGAAACGAACAAATCTGCGCCTGCTGCAGCACACGAGCGATGCTCAGATCTGGACAGCACGCAGAATGTCAGCTGCAAACATCCCGGGTGAACTGAGATCAATGCTATGGGTGCAGAACCACCTTGCAGCAATTGCACCTCTGAACTTCTGTAAAATATCAGTGTGAAATGAGAGTGTGAGCTCATCCCTAAGAAACTGCAGCGGCCTCCTGCAATTGCGAAACGTTCATCTAACCATGCAAAATAATACCTCACTGAGGCTGAAGTGCCCCTGAGTCTGTGGAAACGTTCCACGATGAGCGAACGCGTGGGCTCATGTTGTTTAAAAGCAGCAGTAAGGACCTGAGTGCTGTTCTGCAGCTGCTGAGTGTCAGCAACGAACCCGACATTACAGGCAGGTTGGGGCTGTCACCACGTGCCTTAATCCTACTAGGCTGTGAATGATCCTCCATGGTCCTGCTGGGATCAGGCAGCCACCACTCTCCCCAGAAGCAGAACGGGCTCACGGTGTCAGCACAGCCATTGCAAGGCCACTGCATGGAGCAGCCGTTGTGTGCACACCGAACCCAGCACAGCCACACTGCCAGCTCACATTCAGCTGTGGAGCTGCATGGCCATGGGGTGTGTAAAGCACACACTCAGCTGTGAAAATGTAGCACAAGGAAAAAGAGCCTGTGGGTGACGAATGCAAACTTTTTGGCACGTGGAAATGTTGTTCTTGTATATCAAACTTGTTAAAATGCCTTGAGTCTAAGCAGACAACGCAATTAATTTAATGTAGAGTAGAAAGCAGAGCTAGACCATTTTAAGCGTGACAGTCAGATTGGATCTCTATGCATCCTACAGAACCACTATCCAATTACAGCAGTTACTAACGTAAAGTCATCCCCCAGGCTGGGGAAATGGCAGTGCGTGGTGGGTAAGGTCTTCAGAACAGCACAGGGGATTTACTCACACATCTCCCAGTAAAAGTAACATGAAATAATGAAAGTAGTCCAGTCTTTTGAATAAGTTAAAAGGTATACACATTTCCAGACAAGAAAAGATAAAGTTGATCAGTGGTTTTAAAGGGCTATAGACCTGCTCTCCTGCTTAAATGTTGTCTGTCAGTCTTGGTGTTAAGAAAGCTGAGCAGCATTGGAGCTGAGCTTAGCTTTGAATCCTTCAGAAGTTTTATTTTCTGTGTTTATATAATTCTGAATTAGAAAACAAAGGCAAGGTGGACTTTTGGATCATTAGACAGTTGCAGGAATTTCTGCAAAGGAAATGTCAGGGGAAGGCTGAAAATCAACATCACATCTTGGTTGGTTTTTTGGACCCAAGGAAGTCCAAAGACTCCTGCAGCAGGAATTCCATATTTTGGTGACTGTGTCAAGTTTTGGCTTCTCAGCACAAGAGAAACTTGGACATACTGGTAAGAGTTCAACATAAGGCCACCAAGAGGATGACGGAGCTGGGACTGTTCATCCTGGAGGAGGCTCAGAGGGTGTCTTATTAATGTCTATAAATACCTGAAAGAATAGAACCAGGCCCTTTTCAGTGGTGCCAGAGACAGGGCAAGGGGCAATGGCCACAATCTAGAACAAGAGTTCCAGTTCCATCCAGCAAAAGTTCCATCATTAAAAACCTTTCTTGTGCATCAATGACTCGCTCAACCTGTACTTTATCTCTTTCTACTCAGCTAGCTATAATGGATTTCCATATGGGAGTTATGATGAAGTATTGCAGCATTTCTTAGCAACAGGTATGGCACCCATAGCCATTAGCATCAATAATTCAGCTCATTCAGCCTATACTTCAAAAATGTCTTTTCTCAGATTTTATCTACTGCTCAAAGTAAACAAGAATATCCGAAAGGTTTCTGACCTTGAAACAAGAAGGTGTAATGACAACAGTCTAGAACAGGAACAAAAACTTGGACACGATGGGGCTTCTAGCCAGCCATCGTGATGCACAATACACTGCAGAAACTTCTGTTCAGGGTTAAGGCTGCTGGACTTCCTCAGGGCTATTGCTCTTTCTTAGGATGGCTGCTGCTATTTGCATGTGGGAACATGTCCAAAGGAGCACCACAAGCACTGGAGTGAAAACACTATTTTCTGAACTCATTTCATCAGTGTAAATTAGGAAAATCTTGAGTAATTCCAGCTGAAGATTTACAGAAGGATGGCAGATCTGACTCCAAAGCACACAGTGTGAATGAAAATGTGACCACTCTCTTCTTATGTACTTTGCTTTTGTTGTGCTTCTGGAAAGTAAAGAGGTACACCTTATTATGTCAGAGGTGGTAATTTAAAGCACAGAGAGAGTAACCTACCTACAGTTAGTGAGGAAGTCACTTTATGAGACAAGGTCAGATTCCTGCTCTCATTGGTCCCAAGCCAATCTCTTGCTTGGGAAATCACTTTCCATCAAAACTTATTGACTGAGATTCTCTTTATAGAAGTACCAAGGTTGCCATGATACAGACGAGCAAATAATCTACCTATAGCATTCATCATCATCATCATTTCTGTTAGTGAAAAGTCCAACCACCCCATCACACAGTTCAATAAATCAGCAGGGCTAACACATGGCAAGAAAACATTCCTTCTTGACTCCCAAAGCAATCAGCTTATGCTGCTGAAGCAGGAAGCTTGTTTGTCCCCTGCACTGTTTTAATCTAGCGCATGCAGCTGCAAATGTTGTCTTTGCTCACAAATCTTCCTAAATCCCTTTTTTTTTTTTTTAATTCTACTAAACTCTTTGCCCTGATGACTGCCAATGGCAACTGGACTCCATAGGTAGACAACATACTGCACGAAATACTACACAAATACAGAACACTTGAAAATGTGTTCTGGAAGGTTTTGTTCTGTGATTTGGGACACGGAGGCTGCAATTAGCTGACTTCACTAGGCACCTGATGAAGTTCCATCTTAAATGAAGTTCCCCTTTCCTCCATGATTTATATTACCCTTCATGATTTATAGTGCCTTCCTTTATTCTTTATTCCACACAGCTGACTTACTGGTCCTTTTTTAGGTCCTCTGAGGAAAATGATGGCTTTCACAAATGTATCTGAGTATATCTGTGCAGCCATACATGTAAATATAGGCAAGCAGCAGTGCACACAAAGGTTAAGATCTTCCAACCTATAGAGCACCACAGGGACTCTCTGGAGTCCCCTCCTGTGCTGATGTCAGTAAATGATTTTAATGGGAGCAGGTCTGAGCTAATGCTGGCACTTTGGAAAATCTCACCCAAGGGATTCAGTGATGTTGAAAGTGCTTGAGGCAGGTTAACTGTAGGGCATTTCCACTAATGAGGAATGGCACAGTTGTCTTTATTAATTTTCCTTCTCTACAGTGCAATTAGAGTGTATATATTTTATATCTAGAGGAAAAAAAAAAGTTTAAAATACTTTTATTTTTAGAGTTTCTTACTGAGAAACAGACCAATGAGTATCTTTTTGCATCACAGCTACAGGACTTGAGATCTACTATTGCCCCCAAGCTCTAATAATACTCCCTAGCTGCCTCTCTTCTTCCTTCATCTGACTTAATATGATTACAAGGGAAAATGATGTGACTGTGGTTCCAACCACAGCAGTTTTGTTGGCCTTTCATAAAACTTCCTCATCTCCTTGGAGATGGGAGGAGCCAATACTTTTCTATAAGTCAGTACCTTGAAAAACCAAGTGAAAAAAGTCTCAGTGGAGAAGACTGATTGGAAAAGGCACATCAG